GCCCTGAGGCAGGGACCCAGCTCCGGGCCCAGCTCCGGGCCCAGCTCCGGAGGATGAGCCTGTAACCTTGGGCTAGTCGGGACTTCCCCAGCCTCAACCCAACAGAAACCGTTTGCATGGACAGCGTATCACCCCGTATCCTAGATGGCCGTCCTTGCCCGCGGAGATTCTGGGTCTGGGGGGACAAACAGAGCTGACGCCCTAATGCCAGGGACTGGAGTGTGCACACGGGTGGGCGCCCTGGGGAGAAAGGGTTTGAAGACTCCCTGGAAGAGGTGAGAACCAAGACAGAAAGGCAAATGGAGGTGGGAGAGAAGAATAGGAAGGCGTTCTGCTCAGACCAGGCAGGCAGCAGAGGTGAGGGGGTCAGAGGTGAGGGCTGTATGGTACAGGGTGGCAACCGAGAACCCGCGGAGTAGCTGAGGCAGACACAATTCCTAGCAGGGTCGTAGGGCTGAGGCGGCGGAAGTCCGCCCCAACAGAAGGCAATGGTGAGCCGCGGTAGCTGCCCGGTGTATGGAGGGAAGGGGTGCCTTCCCAGGCAGAGGGGTGGAGAGGCAGACATTCAAATACTGAGAAGACAAATGAACAAGAGTAGAAATAGTCTGGTGGATGATGGAGCCAGCAGGTGCTGTGATGTGAAGGTGCTGGACTCCCACATGGTAGACTGCAGTTTGAGGCCCAGACCTGGTGGCTTGCCCAAAATTCTAAGAGAATGGAGAAGGGATTGAGGCATGCCCCCCTCCCCCCCGGCCCCACCCTGGGAAATGATTTCTCACTTTCCCTCTCACTGTCTCTCTCTGTTTCTCCTCTCTGGCAAGTGCACGTGCCCTATAACAAAAAAAGAGAGAGAGAAGAAAAGAAAGAAAGAAAGTCACTGGATGGGATGAAGGAGAGAGAAGGGCGAGAAAGAGGAAGATACAAGTTTCTAGACACAAGTTAGAAGGCGCAGCTGAGATCAGTGAGTCAGTTCAAGAAGGGGCATAGCCCGGTGGTACAAGCAATCTGTGGTGCTGGAAGCCACATGGCCATCCAGGGGTCCAGCTTCAGGCCACCTGAAACACAGTGGGAGCAGGCACACCTAATACCCTGGCTGGCTGGGGTAAGGGGGTCACCGTGGGACCAGATCCTGTTGAGGGTGCCTCTCTGTGTCTCTCTCTTTCTCTTAAAAGAAATAAATAAACTTCAAAAAGAAAGAAAAAAAGAAAAGCGCTGCCTCCCGACGTGTCCCAGAGAGATCTGGGTAGAGGAGCCTAGCAAGGCTGTCCTCGTCTGCATTTTGGGAAGCAGGGTTGGGCTGAAGCGTGAAGACCGAGCCTGGACCGAGCCTGGGTACCCCAGACTGACTGTGCGGAGTGGATGGGAAAGGCCCTGACGACACGAACAGCCAGTTCAGGCATTGAATCGGATGTTTCCTTTCCAGACCTGGAATCAGCCTTTGAGATGTTGGGAATGAGGCTGCCCAAAGCAGGATTCCAAAATCTGACTTCCGATCAGCTTGCTGCCACCAACCTGCTTTGGTGTGACTGTAAGCATGTCATAGCCTCCCTGAGACCGAAGGAATTGGCAGCCCTGTGGTGACCGTTACAGGTCTGGGTGGGACTTCCGTATACACGGTCTCCAACCTACCTTTCAAGGCTAAAAAGCTGGGTAAGGGCCACAAGGGAGACTTCCAACTAAGGCACCTTCTTCCTGAAAAACTGAGTGTGGATGGGTTTAGCGGGTCTCAGGTCATTACCCCACGTCTAGAGAAGCGCTTCAGTGGTAACTACTGTTAGACCCATCACCATTTACTAAAGTGCTGGTCTGCGCTTCTCAGACGTTTGCTTTAAAACTGGGTTCAGAGACCAGCAGTTGGCGTAATGGCTATGTCACTGGACTCCCATGTAGTCAACCGCAGTTTGAGTCCCTCACCCAGTGGCTTAAACTCACGCCAGGCGCATGTGCGTGCATGTCCAAGATCCTGAGAGGAGAATGGAGGAGAAGGGATTGCGGTGTGGCCATCCCCCTCCCCTGGGGGCTGATTTCTCGCTTTCTGTCTTTCTGTCTCTCTCTGTCTTTCTGGCAAGTACACGTGCCCTATAGCAAAAACCTCTCCAAAAAAAAAAAAAAAACTGGATTCAACTTTAAAATTGTTCCGGCTCTTCTGGAAGCAAAGAAACCACCAAGGGGCACACTAAGGGGAGCACCTCCACAAGTTACCCCACAAACCTTCCTTCTGGTAGCTTGCCGCAGCCTGACCTGTGACTGGAGAACACCTGCTACTCAGCATCTGAACTCTGCTCCTCTCCCCCAGTCCATTCAACTCTGACCCTAGGGTTTGCCCTTCCTCTGCTCAGCTGTCCAGGCAGGACCCCTCTCCAGGCTCGTACGTTCCTACCCCCTCCAGCAGCCCAGCACACACGCACCCAGACATCTTTGCGTTTACCTTTAGATTCTCTGGCCAGCTCCAGGACGGCAGCATCTGTTACGTGGCCCAGGGCGGGGTTTGCTCCTCTGCTTGGCACCGGTGGGTACGTAGCAAAATCTGGTGTGGACCAATTGTCACAGCCCAGCGTGACCTCTGCAGTGGCTGGGTCTGGGGTGACTGGCACAGTCGAGCCCGTGGCTGCACCCAGCCTGCTGATGTCCACAGCAGGAGAACCCAGAGTAGTGTCCAGTGTGGCTACAGTCGCTCCGGCCAAAGCCATGGCCAACTTGGCTGTGCCCTTCTGTCCTGGGCCTGGTGTTGCCGCACACGTGCCTGTGCCCTCCGTGGTCACACTCGGTTTGGCTGTGCCCTTCTGTCCCGGGCCTGGTGTTGCCGCACACGTGCCTGTGCCCCCCGTGGTCACACTCGGTTTGGCTGTGCCCTTCTGTCCCGGGCCTGGTGTTGCCGCACTCGTGCCTGTGCCCCCCGTGGTCACACTCGGTTTGGCTGTGCTTTCTGCAGCCATGGTTTTGCCAGGCTCGTCTGGGTCTGGGGTTATAAAGTCCATGACCGTGTCCGGATTGGTTGTCCTTACGGTGGTCAAGTTCATGGCCGGGCCTGGCTTGGTCGTGTCTGTAGACGGGTCCTTGACTGTACCCAGTTTGGAATCCGGAGCGGGAAACTCTGGGCTCGTGTCCGATCCGGATGTGTTTGGTGCGGCTGGACAGGTAGCCACACTAGGTCTGTCGGTGGCCATAGTGGCCAAAGGTCTGGCTATCCCCGGCCTTGCGTCCACAGCAGCCAAATGTATAACAGGGGTCCTATGGGTGCACATCCAGGATCTGGGGATGCCCCTGGGCCGGGACTTGCTCCTTCCTGGAGATGCTCTGATAGGCGTGTGGGCAGTCACTGGGACAGGGAGCCTGTGACCCGCCGGGCCTGGCCCTGCGAGGTTTGGGGATTTCCGGACTAACCCGGATTGGAAAGGTAAGGCCAGGTATGAACTCACCAGGGGCTTCTCCACTGTGGGCACCCTGCTGGGCTTGGTCAGACCTGGGTTCCCTGGGCCTTCGGAGTGGACCCTGCCCCCTGGCACCAGGGTCATGGGTGAGCCTGGAGAGGGCAGCCTTCTTCCTCCATGGGCAGCAGCCTCCCGGCCCGGCGTAGGCAACTCTTCCCAGTGGGTAAAGCGGGGGTCCCGGGGTCGCACCTGGTTGTTCTGACGGAGGGTTAAGGAGATGGAGCTGAGCTTCCTGGGTGCGAGGCTATTGGCAGGCAAGGGGCTCAGGGCAGGCCCTGGGGCAACACCAGCCTCTTGGGAGAGCAGACTTTGGGCCCTGGCTCCGAGGCCTGGTCGTCTCGACATCTGTGGAACATGGCTTTGGGGGAAGGCATCTAGATGGATGGTCTTCCTGAGCACAGGGATGAGGGGGGACGCCCCTCCAGGGAGCCGTGAGGGCCGGGTGGTGCGCCCCAACATGTGGCTGCGGGGTGAGGAGGCTGGGAGTCCGCGTAGCTGCGTGTCTGGAGGAGCAGGAGCAACGTCGCGGTCCATCCGGGCCTCTTGTCTTTCCCTGGGGCAATCGACAGAGAAGGGCCAGGCGGGGTGAGGGCTCAGCCCTGGAGGTCTCAGCCCTCTCCCTCCAGGCCAGCAACTGGCACCCCAGGTCTGAAGGGGCCCTGTTTGGGGTGTTGTGTATCTTCCTGCAGGGCTTCCACAGCTCCACACACCTGCCGCGCTGCCATATGGGGGCGGTGCCTCCAGTCACAAGCACCTCTGGCGTGAAGGGCCTCATGTAGGGTCTCCCTCTCCCTCTCCTGACCTGAGGGTGGTCCCTCTCTCTGTGAACAGCTCCATAGAGGACGCATACATGTCCAGGGACCCAGAAGAGGGCTGTTGCCACTGGAGACCTAGCTGCCTCTTACTTCCAGAAGGAGCCAAAGGATTCGGGCTCCCCCATCAGCAGCCAGAACAGGGGTGCAGGTGTCCAGGAAGGAGGCTGAGGGATGGCCAGTTTGCCTTGAGAACAAGGTCTGGACCTGGGGATCCCATGCAGAGGCGAGAAAGAGCCCTGGGCCGGCCTGGTGCAGGAGCTGGGATTAGAACCAGAGCTGGAGGGGCCCAGGAGAAGGAAAGGCTCAGGAGGTACAGAGGTGACAGGCGTTCATGCGAAGAGCCTTGTCTGATGAGCAAACCACAGTCCCTGCCCTTGGAGAGCCTGCAGTCCCCAGGGAGCAGGCCAGAATGCAGGCAGGACCTCACAAGGTAAGCATTAGGGGTGGGCCTTAGCTCAGTCCTGGTGTCAGAGGAGGGAGGCCAGTCGGGGGGAGGCCCAGAGTGAGAAAGCATAGCACACTGCCAGTGTGCAGTGTGCAGGGCTAAGACTCGACGCTCTGCACGGCTGAGCCAGTGGGAAGGTGGCTGGTTTGCATCCAGAGACCTGTGAGTGCACTGGGCATGCTCGTCCCCACGACTGGAGCACGTGGGAGAGGGCCTAGCTAAGGCTGGGATCATGGCTTCAACACCCTAATACCCTATTGGAGTATTTTAATGTGTGCTCTCTTTCTCCCTTTCTATTTTTTTTTAAAGAATTGTTTATTTTATTTTATTTACTCATTTATTTTAATTTGACCAGAGAGAGAAGCAGAGAAAGAGGGAGAAAGCAAGCCACCAGGTCTGGGACTTGAACCATGGTCAGCCATGTGGGAGTTTGTAGGCCATGTGGGGGTGTCTAGCACCTTAACCACCATGCCACCTGCTGGTCCCCTCTCTCTCTCTTTCTCTTTCTCATGAAATAAATAAATAAACTTGGGCCAGCAGAGGGCGTAGCAGTTATATCACTGAACTCGCAGACCTGGTGACTAGAAAACTCACACTGGGTGCGTGTGTGCATGCCCAAGATCCTGGAAGGAGACAGAAGAAGGGGCTGTGGTGTGGCCATTCCCCTTGGGGGGTGATTTCTCACTTTCCCTCTCACTGTCTCTGTCTCTCTCTCTCTGTGGCAAGTGCACATGCCCTCAGGCAAAACCTTCTAAAAATTTTTAAATAAATAAATAAACTTAAAGAAAAAGTGCGGCATCTTTTTGAATCTCCGTGTGGCCTCCTAGGCCGTGTGAGGCTGGAGACAAGGTGAGCTGAGCTGAGGTCCCCGGCTGCAGGGCTGTGTGAGGGTGAGGCTGGAGACAAGGTGCAGTGAGCTGAGGTCCCCAGCTTCAGCCCTGCAGTCCCTGCCTTTAGAGAGCCTGCCAACCCCAGGGCTCAGGCCTTGGAAAACAACCTGGTCAGAGCTGCAGGTGGGAACAGTCACTTAGGAGCGGTGTGACAGAGGGGTCAGAGGGAACAGAATCGAGGCAAGGAGACCGTGAGGACACAGTCGAAACCCTCCGTGGGCTCCGGCAGTGCTGGAGAAGGCTGCATTGCACCTGCCGCGGGCGTGGCTTATGGTGGGGAGTTGGGGGCAGTGAGTGTCTAGGATGAAGCTCAGGCCTCTGGCTGGTGGTCTGGGCAGGTGGACCATTTCCTGAGGTGGGCTCCAGGGACCAAGTGGCCAGTGAATGCCCCCCTCCATATAACTCACCTTCCAGAAGCAAGATGTTTCTATTGCTTTTGACGCAGCAGGCTGGGGCTGCTGCCCGAGGCCAGGGCTGGTGGGAGGGCTTAGTTCCAGTTGTAAGGGACTTGTGGGGGAGGGCGGGTGACCTTACAGCCAGGTTCCTAAGGTCTGGAGCAGGGGCAGAGAGGACAGGACACCCGAGGGGGTCTTCATCACCCCTCACATGGCCCCCCAGCCCTTCATCCCTCTCCAGCCACATCTTTGTACCCAAGACCTCTGGCCCTTCATCCCCTCCCTGCCTGACACTCCCCTGCAGCCCTGCTGCCCTAATTCTCAACCACACGCACCTGCGCACACATGTCTGCCCTGCACGGACCGCAAACATCCATCTCAGGACGCACACCCACACGCAGCGGGCGCCGGTGGACGGGATTGCTGAGCTCTGCCCGTTCTAATGTCGCCAGATCCCGAACTCCTCACTGGGCCCCCACTCCCCAGTCACAGCTTGCTTGGTTCTTCTCCCCCCACCTCCACACATGTACCCCGATACCCACCTACCTGCTCAGAGAACAAGAAGAGCCTGTGGGCCTCAGTCTGGGAAGCTTGGGCAAGTGCAGGCCCGGCACTCCGTCTGTATCCAGAGTCTAGCCATGGGGTTCGGTTCAGGTGCCTTGTCCCTCTGAGTCCCTCTGGGGCCCCTGCTCACCCTCCAGGCCACAGTCCTGGCCTGGGGCGCAGCCGCTGCTGACCTGTGCCACCAGCTACACCCGCAGGGCTGGGCTGGGCTGGGCTCTGGGCAGGGAGGGGCTGGCTTCTTAGGCGTGGGCAGCTGTGAATGGCCGCTCTGAGCCTCTGGGATCCCAAAGGGCCATGGGAGATCTGCCCGAGATGCACGGCCACCCCGGGGACTGGGGCCCTGCTGGGCCCTCCTAAAATCCGCCTGTGTCCCACAGACTCTGACCGGTGGAAAAATGTCCCCAGTAAGAATACTCCCAACACGGCCTCAGACCATAGAACATAGGTCCCCCCTCTGCTTTCCCTCTGCACCCGTGCAGCGTTTAGTCCTGCGACCCTCGGGCCATGCTGCCCACCCACTCGAGGGCTTTGTTCCAGCCAGCTGGAGCTCCCGAAAGCTGGAGCTTGGTCTGTCCCCTTCCGCTCCTACTCCCTGAGCCCCAGCTCACTCCAGCTGGCGGCTGTACTAAGACGGTTGGGGGAGTGACCCAGCCCTGGGCTAGCTGGGAGTCCCCAGCTGAGGCCCCTACCCTCGCGCTGCCTCTGCGGTAGCACCAGAATAACCAGGATGGTCTGAGCACATGTGCTCACGGCCTGCTGGGAAGGTGGGAGTGGAGTAAGAGCCCTAGGCAGCCAGGCCTGGTGGCTGCCGGCGCCCAGCACTCACCCTGAGCCCGGAACCGGCTCAGCATTCTCCCAGCACACCCTCTAACCTTCCCCTCATCTCCTGCTCTTTTAGGATGACACTGCAGCCCCACCAGGCCGCGTGCTCTGGTCTGGTCTCTGCTGTGTCCCCTCTTAGTGAGTGAGCTTCTGAAGCCCGGCTGCCCCATAGAACCTTCTGTGATAATGGAGATGTTCTATATCCCTGCTGTCCACCACAGTGGCAGGGACTGAGCCTTCACTCTGGCCACGGGGCAAGGGAGCCGACCCAGCCCTGGGCTAGCTGGGAGTCCCCAGCTGAGGCCCCTACCCTCGCGCTGCCTCTGCGGTAGCACCAGAATAACCAGGATGGTCTGAGCACATGTGCTCACGGCCTGCTGGGAAGGTGGGAGTGGAGTAAGAGCCCTAGGCAGCCAGGCCTGGTGGCTGCCGGCGCCCAGCACTCACCCTGAGCCCGGAACCGGCTCAGCATTCTCCCAGCACACCCTCTAACCTTCCCCTCATCTCCTGCTCTTTTAGGATGACACTGCAGCCCCACCAGGCCGCGTGCTCTGGTCTGGTCTCTGCTGTGTCCCCTCTTAGTGAGTGAGCTTCTGAAGCCCGGCTGCCCCATAGAACCTTCTGTGATAATGGAGATGTTCTATATCCCTGCTGTCCACCACAGTGGCAGGGACTGAGCCTTCACTCTGGCCACGGGGCAAGGGAGCCGGCTTGTTATTTTTACTCATATTTTAATTCACAGCTGCCACAGAGAGCAGCACAGTTCTGAAGGGCGTGGATTTTATTCTCCACATCCCAGAACCTGGCAAGAACCGGCTCTGGAGCATTTCCTTAGAATGAATGAGTGCGAGGTGACTTCCTGGGCCTGGGACCTCCCCTCTTCCTACCCACCCTCTCCCCTTCAGGCTGTGTTCTGGTTACCAGGCAACCTGCTGGGAAGCAGGTTGGGGGAGGGTGCTGCCTGGAGTCCTTTCCCCTCCATTCCTGGCTCTGAGGAAGGGGGAGGATGGCACAGCCTGGCCTGGCCTGGGCAGGTTGGGCAGGGGGAGCCTTCCCTGGGCTGAAATCGAGGGCCCTGGCTCTCGCTCCACCTTGGCCAACCTCTCACTGCAACTCCTGTCTCATCACTTGCCCTCTGGGCCTCAGCTGCCTTTTCTTTCTTTCTTTTTTCTTTTTTTTAGTAATTATTTATTTAATTTTTATTTAATCATTCATTTGTTTTAATTTGACCACAGAGAGAGAGAAAGAGAGGGAAAGTGAGAAAGCAAGCTACCAGGTCCAGGACTCAAACAGTGGTCTGCTACATGGGAGTGTCCAGCACCTTAACCAGCATGCCACCTGCTGGTCCCCTTCCTTCCTTCCTTCCTTCCTTCCTTCCTTCCTTCCTTCCTTCCTTCCATCTTTCTTTCTTTATTTTTCTTTCTTCAGAGAGAGATTTTTTGCTACAGGGAATGTGTGCTCACTGGGGAGATGGAGAGGGACAGAAAGTGAGAAATCACACACACACACACACACACACACACACACACACACCCAGGGGATGGACACACTGTAATCCCTTCTCCTTCATCCTCCTTTCAGGATTTTGGGCATGCACGCACACACGCCCTGTGTGA